TAAAATAAGTCACTGGTGAAAAACTGCTTTAGATGACACAATGGCCAGTTTTTTATTTATTTATGTAACCACCTTGTTCAAATGAAAGAAACAGTAAAAGTAAGGAACTCAGTAAGCTTTAGACAGAAATTCAATGTTTTTAATGAACTAAATATAGAGGTCAATTAAAGACATGAAATATTGATGCCAGGGACTAAATGTTATTCATTCTAAGATACATTATATAGTGGATTGGATTTTAAGCCTGCAGCTGCATAGCCCAAGAGTGAACTGCCATCTCTGCCTGCATAGAGGGCAGCTGCAGACTGCCTGCTTAGACTCTCTCTCCAGTGCTGTTTGTGTTCCTCATTTGTCAAAGAGGAATGGTAATCGTCCATGCTATAAACCATATAATGCTCTGAGCCCAGAGGTTGATATTTGGTTAGTGCTCAGTAAATGTTAGCATTTGTTATTTAAGAATTTCTCCAACTGGAAATACCTTTGGTGAGCCTAACTTCATTTCTCACCCAGGTGCTTCATCTGGCTATGGCATCTTTCTCCAGAGTATCGGGTGAGAAATGGAGACTGTAGCTGGTCTCTATGCATAGTCTTAACTATAGACTAGTTAAATCTTTTAAACATTATTCTGGGACCCAGTGAGTTAACCAGTACAGCAGCTGAGCATTTAGAGAACTTGGCATTAAATCTTTAAGATGTTTTTAAAATGTGCTTTTCTACTGGTATAGATTTCAAATTACAAACTAGGATTCAAAGGTCAGATTTCTGGTGAAGAGAAATTTTCTAAGCTAAAAACAAGGGAAACTAAATCCTTATTTGTGTTTTTTCAGTTTTATTGAACTTCTAGCTTGGATTTCCTGAGGTCTAATTTATATATATTTGTACTTTATTTAATGGCCTTTAAAAACTATGTGGATGATGTAGATTCTAGAGGTGTTTTAAATTTTTTTTTTGAAGGAACAAATAAGATACTTGAAAGGACTATTTTGTACAAAATATACTAAAGTAGATCTAATTTTGTAAGTTGAAATATCTAAGACTTTCAAATTAATGCATAAGGCATTCTTATTCACAGATTTATAGAAATAAAATTAGAAACAAATATATCATACCAAACATACTGGTTACAAAGATGGACTCTGGATTCAAATATTCCTGTTTAGTTCTTCCTGGCTTCACGATTTTAGACAACTTTCTAAAGTTCTGTAATTAGTGTCTTTGTCTATAAGAGGTCTGAGAATGCTACGTAATAGGGTAGTAGTGTGAACAAAATTACTAGATTGTGTTGAATTAAATATGTTGATTAGAACATATGCACTCACATATGCATATATGATGATGATGGCTGGTATATAAACTCTTTTGTACATGTTTATGGCAATGATGATAACTACCACCAAATTATCTGAACAAAAAGTAACAAATACTGTGTTGTTTAATATTTTTCTTTTTAAAAACTATCTGAAAAAAACATTTTTATGAAAGCTAGTTTTTTGGCCTTAGCCTGTGGAAAAAAAATATTCTAGTTCATATCAGAAAACCTGGACTTAGTCTGTGCTGCCATTCAGACTAGGCAGGTGACCTGGCCTCTGGAGACATCTCCTTTTTCATCTGCAAAAGTAAAATATGATTCTCTATCTCAGATATTGGTATGAAAAATAAAGTCATCTCTTCAAAAAAGATTCTGTCTTGATTTAGAACAACACTCTTCAATAAAAATAAAATGTGAGCCACATATGTAAATTAAAATTTTTCTAGTAGCCACTTAAGAGTTGGTGTCTGATGGTTTGTTGAGGGGAACAGTTAATGATTAAATTTTTTTTTAATATTTTGACCAATTTTGCATGCTTGTATCTGGTAATCTGAGCAGTTTATGTAATGACAACAGTTTGCAGTGTAATATCCATTGGTGAAGTCCTACAATCCTGCCTAGTGACACTATGTATTGTCTCTAACGTTCTTTTAAATTATTATTTTCTTATTCCCTTTAATGATTTGATCAATCTTCTATTCTTACATCTGGTAATCTGAGCAATTTCATTGAAAATAACAGTATGGGGGATGGGGATTTAGCTCAGTGGCACAGCGCCTTCCTGGCAAGTGCGAGGTCGTGAGTTCGATTCCCAGTACCGGGAAAAAATACAAACAAAAAACAAAAAAACAAAAAAAGAAGATAACAGTATGAAATATAGCAAACACTGTTAATCTCTGTCATTTGGTTTGAAGCCGTGTATCATTTTTAATATCCTTACTTTGTGGTGTTTGTATCTTGCTATTCTTTTTTGTACTATTTTCTTTAAAATTAAAAATACATTTTAAATAGAAAAAAAAGTTTGTGAGTGATCAGCAAAAAAAAAAAGTGAATTTTAATCATATATTTAATTTCTAAAATGGTCATGTCAACATGTAATTAACATAAAAATTACTGAGTTTTTTTCATATTATTTTAAATTTAGTGTTTTTTTTTTTTTTTAAATAATTATAGCACATCTGAACTTGAGCTAACCACATTTCAAGTGCTCATTACCCACATGTGGCTGGGGGCTATGGTATTGGGCACTCCACATCTAAATATAGATCAATATTCCTGTCCGTGTTCTTAGGTGTTGCATTGGCCTCAAACAATTAGCTTAGCCTTTTTCTTAAAACCGTGCATCTTTGGATGCTTAAGAATTACAACTATTATAGAGAGTTTATACAAATTCTCTGTATGAATGTGATCATTATATATACTAGAATGTACCAATAAAATCTGATTAAAAATAAAAGTTATACCGTAATGTAAAAAAAAATTACAACTCTTTAATTGGCAACCTAGGTTATTATCATTGCCCCTGGGGGATTAGGGGCCTGCCCTGATACTTTCGGCTAACCTAGATGAGGATTTGCTCTGGGCATGACGCGCACCTCTGTTTTTGGTCAAGGCTGCTAGACAGCAAAGGAATGTTGAATCCTTTGACTATGATAAATCTTTTGAAGCACAAGAATTGAAACTCCAGGTCAGGATCAGGTTTGTAAAACTCTTTCACTCTTGTTTGTTGTCTGTCCTTTTCAGTCTTTCTCAAATTTCTGAAATTTGCGTAGGGTCCCTGGAAAAAGAGCAAATGCCAGCAATCCTCTAAATATATTCAGATTACCTGTTCTCCATTTCAGTGTGGCATAACAAGGCAGACTTCTCTTCTCAAAAATTAGTTTGACTTTTTAAACAGTTAGAAGCTGGACATAGTAGACCTGCGATCCTAGCATTCTGAGAGGCTGAGGCAGGAGGATTGCAAGTTCAAACCCAGCAAGGGCAACTGAATGACTTAGTGAGACCCTATGTCAAAATAAAAATGGTGGTAGTGGGCAGCTGGGAATGTAGTTCAGTGTAAGGACCCTGGATTCAATTCCAGTACTGCCAAATAAATAAATAATTAAAATATATTTAAAACCATTTTGGGGAATCAAGAGATTTGGAGGCCAGAGGAGGTATTCAATTCTGCATGATAACTCTGAGCTATCTTTTAAAACATGTTTTCTCATACAGTTTTCACATAAATTTGGAGACTGTTGTGAGGGAAGAGAACGTTATCCTAAGTCGCTGATGGAATGGTGAGAGTAAAGAATGTGGCATTCTAATGCACCTGTCCACGAAGCTCCTTAAATGTCACCTTCTTAGGGAGGCTTACTGAGATCACTCTGTTTAGCTGCCAGCCCCCAGGCTCTGTTTCCCTTTTTGAGGTGGAGGATGAGATATAAATACCACTCACCATGAACTAAAATTATTTGCTTGCCTTCCTAAATAGTCTATACACTCCATAAAACTGTGGACTTCGTCTATACCCATATCTTCAACTACTGTATAATACCTAGCAATCAATAAATGCCTTTAAATCAGTGAAAAAATAAGTAAAACAAAAGTTGTTATTTTATATATGTACTAAATGATTTTAAAATTAAAGACCTGGTAGATTTCCTCCCTGATGATTGTTGCTGTAGCCAGTGTATGGTAGGAATTCTAGGTTCACTCTTGATTCAGGTAGTTAAACTTGTACATAATGTGGGGCATTAAGAGGGGGAAAGGAGTACCTTGGAATTAAATTATGAGAGGAAGGTAGAATAATGTTTCTTGATGTCTTAACTTTGCTTGCTGAAGATTTCAGATTATACAGGGTAATAATATGGAGGAGTATGGGAAAGGGAGTTGTATAGAAATTTTATAGTTCACATGCTGTAAATGTATGAATGTTTTGGGGGCAAGATAATTGGCATAACAGGTAATAGAAGCTTAGATAAAAGATGAAAGAGATTCATAACCAGAGAACTTAGTATTAGTTGTAGGAAATGTGGGGCTGTATAGTGTTATGGCCTCAAATCCACCAGTCATATCTGCATTGCCTTTGTTCAGAATCTTTATTTAAAATTTTTATTATTCTTATCATTTTCTCATTTGTTCTTCCATCTCACCTGTTATGCCTTTGTACCACTCTGATATCTATACCTTTTGCTCTGTGGAATTATATTCCCTATAAGTACAAATTGAACATACTCTGCAAAGGCTGGAAAGTCCGTTATAACTCCCATTTTGTCTCAGGAGCATACCTTGCCAATAAAAGTCAGCTGAACACATTGAAAACTCTTAGGTTTCATTAAAAACTGTTTATGTTGCATTTAAATGAATTTTTTTAACAAAAGAGATAAAGACAATCTTAAATGTTTTTATTTTTCTCTTCAAATGAGAAACACTTTTGTATAAATGCACTAGCTTTTAAAAGGGATATGACTGAAGTATTACATAGTTTGTGAATATAAAAACAATAAGCAAAAATAGGATATGTTTTTTGTATCATGGACCTAGGCTTTCATTTCATTTAGGTTTTTCTACAGTGTTACAGTTTTAAGGTTTTATAAAGTTTGATTAAATAATAGTATATTACCTGTAGTAGATAATGTTTTAAGGGCTGCTTTTACTTAAGTGATAGTTCAAAAGATCGATTTTAATCTAACACTGTCTTTCTTTTTAGTCTGTAAGACTTGTATTGTTCAGCACTTTGAAGACAGCAATGATTGTCCCAGGTGTGGAAACCAAGTTCATGAGACAAATCCATTAGAAATGTTGAGGTAAGGAAATGTATTTCATAGTTCATCTTATTTAAATGTATCATGTAAGCTTTGTTTTTATTACATATTATGTTTCTTAATGTCTTGACAATTAATTTAGATCCTAGGAATTTTATGATTTTCATTTTAAAGGGTTCTATTTTAAGATTAAGGCTGTTTATCTTAAATATTTAGGAAATTCATTTGAAAATTAAAATTGTAACTTTCTCCTAGGTTTTTAGAATTATTTTAGTTGCAGCTATTATAAGTAAATATAGTCACCATCGTTTGTGGACATTTTTCATTGCTTCAGTGTTTTTCATTGAGGAGACAGTACTTATCATTGAAGAGTAAGAAAAAAAGGATGTGGAGAGCTGAGGAGAGAAGAAAAGCCCAGGGGACAGGAAAAACATAGCGTGACTCCTGGCAGCATGAAAGGCACATTTCAGTTGTAGTCATGAATTTGAAGTGATGTGATTTTCTTTTTCAGCCAGGGCTGCAAGTACAGAGTTAATGGAGAGTTGAATTTAACTAGCATTGTTATGCCAAACAATTTTGAGCAAGTAAGAGGGACAACAGAATCAAAGGTATATGTATGGGAGTGATTTTAATGATTGACTGTGGATCTTATCAGTCTTAACCTGGATTAAGAGGACATCAAAGTGGTTAGGAATGTCTCAGAGGAAATGAATGGATCTAGTTGACTCCTGATTGGTGTGTATATGGTGAGAAGACATTATTTTTGATAGTTTGGTAATTAGGTACATAGTAAATGAAAAGTAATAGTTAATAGAAAAAAATAGAGGCTATATCTATAAAGAGTACTCTGTGAATATTTATTTATATGAAGGGTTGAAGCTAGGCACTCGTGCATGCTAAGCACACACTCTGCCACTAAGCCATGCCCAACCCCATAATGTAAGTGTTGTTATTAAAAAACTGTTGAGTAAATATATTGGTAATAAAAGTATATTTGGAAAATGGAAGTAAGGAAAAAGCATATGTTGGGAGGTAAGGAAGTGACAGATAATGTAAGAGAACTAAACTTGTAAGAAAGTCACAAAAATCACCACAGAAAAAGTACAGCTTTTTTAAAAAGAAAACTATGAAAGTAAATAATAGAAGAAAGGTTAAATTTGAAAATTGTTCATATTTTAGTGTAAGTTTTTATATTTTAGTGTAAGTTTTTAAAGGAAATTTTATTTTTTAGTTACATACGTATTTACTTTTAAATGCTAAATTAAGAAAAGAAGTACTGTTACTCCCATTGAACAGTCTGGGAAAACTGTGAATGTGTTAGTATTTGACTTGTCTTGAAGAGTAAAGTTAGCACCAGTTTGGTCAGAAAGTAAGAAGAGTATTTGAGCCACGATTAAAAACATGAGGAGAACAGAATGGACAGTAGGAGGAATTCTTGGGTTAACCGAGTAAGCCGGTTGACTAGAAAAGAGATGTTAGAGAATAGCAGAAATTACAGTTCATATGTTGGATTCGAGTTATATAAACATTTGAAACCAAGTAATGGGGAGAAATTAGTTCTTGTTTTTTTTTGTTTTTTTTTTTTTGGTTTTTCTCCGGTACCGGGAACCGAACTCTCGACCTTGCGCTTGCCAGGCAGGCACTTTTGCCGCTGAGCTAAATCCCCAGCCCCGAAATTAGTTCTTGAACTAGGAAATAATGACCAAATTAGTATTTTGGGGAACACATTCTGAGAATGTCAAAACAGCTCTGTCTTACTTTGACAGGGTGTGAATGATAGTGGAAGGATGGGGTAGTGGGGAAAGGATCAATGGGAGGAATGTTGAGAAGGAGCTGGGAGTGAGGCTTAGTTGAGAAGTGCGTGAGTCATCAGACAGAAAAGTTAATTCTTTCATTTTGAGCCTGTTTGGAAGGGTTGCTGTATCAGTTAAGAATTTTAAGAATGAGGCAATGAAGGGTATTCCTGTTTCACTGGAGGAGGGTTGATGAGACGATCTTGACATAGAAGAGGTAGTTGAGGTAACAGACAACAAAGTTCACTGCATTTGTGGTAGTTTCAAGCAGTAAATGTAGATGTAATCCTCAAGGAAGACAGCCCATTGAGAGGTTCAAAGAGTGCAGAGTATACAGAACAATAGATTTAGAAGTTCAGTCAGTCCTTTGTATCTGTGGGTTCTGCATTCACAGATTTAACCAACCGTAGAGCAAAAGTATTTGTAAAGAGTCCAGAGATGTAGCTTAGAGGTAACGTATTTGCCTGGCATGCACAAGGCCCTGGGGTTCAATACTCAGCCTGCAAAAAAAAAAATTAAATTTAAGAAGAGAAGAGGGGAAGGGAAGGAATGGTGAGAAGGAGAGGAAGGGAGAGAAAAGAAATAATTGGCGAGGGAATGCATTTGTACTAAACATGTACAGACTTTTTATTGTTATTCCATAAACAGTACATACCATAAGCTATTTATAACATTTACATTTGCAGTATTATAAGCAACCTCAAGATTATTTAAGGTACATGAGAAGATATGCATGGGCTGTATGTAAATACTGTACCATTTTATATAAGGGGTTGATGATTTTTCTATTTGTGAGGAGTCCTGGAACCAATCACCCCTTGAAACTTAGAAATAACTTTATTTAACTGTTTACTAACAACAACAAAAAAAACAGAAAAGGAAATTTTCAGGTAGATCATTTTAAATGCTCAAATATCTGCAGAGCAATATTAGCGAAAATTAATTTTAAAAATAAATTTAAAAATTTTTCAATTTGGAGCTGGGTGTGGTGGCTCATACCTGTAATCCTGGCACTTAGGAGGTTGAGGCAGAAGGATCACTGTGAGTTCAGGACCAAGCTGGGCTTTATAGTTCAAGGCCATCAGACTACACAATGAGATTCTGTTTCAAAAAAAATTTTCAGTTTCAAAATTTTCAGTTTAAAACCTATTTATTATGAAGGAAATTATGAATGACTTTGAAGGTTCAGGAGGGAAAAAGAAGCAAAACAGTATTCAACAGATTATGCTTTCAAATTATTTTCAGTTAGGAGAAAAAATTAAGAAACAGTGATAGCTTTGAAAGACAATGAGTAAGCAATTTTTTTTCCTTTTTTAGATGTGAGAAACCTTTGCATGTCTGAAGATATTTGAAGTCAGAGAAGAGTAATACTGTTGAGCAGGATGAAGGAGACTAAGTGAAAGGGGGGTGTTGTGGGAGCAAGAAGAGAGACTGAAGAAATAAAGCCATGAAAAGGAAAAGTTGTCTAGCAGGAAAAGAAAACAAGAAAAATTCAAGATAAATATTTAAATTTTTATCAGGAAGGCAGAATAACTAAATGGTCTCCATTTCCCAGAAAAAAGCAATGGAGATGATTTCCATCTCAGGAAAGAACAAGGATTTTGGTGGCGATTTCAGGGGTGAACTGATCAGCTACTGCTGCATATAAGGGACACCCCTAAATTAATGCCTGGGAAAGTAAGCGTGTGTTACTTCTCATAGATCGTGGGTTGGCTGGTGGTTATTCTGACCATGGTTGTGCTCCCTTATGCCACAGCAGTCATCTCCACGCTAGGGAGGCTGCTGTACTGCTCTTCGCTGGGTTCTTCTCCATGTTGGAAGTGGGCTATCTGTGATCTCATCTAAGAGCCCCAAGAAGCTAGGGTGGTGACCCCTCCGCATGGTGTCTCGGCCTCCATGCTTGTTCTTATGCTGGCAGGATTCTGAGAGAGAGAAAAGGAAAGCGTGTTTTCGAAGCTTAGGCTCAGAATTAAGCATAGCTGTCATTTGTGCCATAGTCTATAGGTCTATGCAAGTTTCAAGGCCAGCCTGTACTCTCAGGGTTGGGAAACAGACCCCACCCAGTAGTCAAGGGAGGGTGTAGAGAGAGGTAAGGAACCTGGATCATTTTTTAAATCAGTCTACCCCGGCAAAGGCTACAAATGGTTATGTTGCATGTGCAGAAGGGTTTGGTATACTCAGTATGGTAAAATAATTGGTCTGTATTTTGTGATACATATGTGGTATAAATTTTGAACTATTTACATACTGGATTTTGATATCTTCATTGTTAGTATATTCTCCCTTTTGCCCTTCTTGAAGGTTGGATAATACATTGGAGGAAATTATATTTAAGCTCGTTCCTGGACTACGAGAACGTAAGTTGCTCTTTTAGTTCTTACAGATGTGCAGTTTTATGAAATGAACGTTTCTATTAAAGATTTCAGAAGTGTTCTTACAGTTTGTATATTCCTTTTTTCTTTTAAATTAGAAGAACTTGAGCGTGAATCTGAGTTTTGGAAGAAAAATAAGCCTCAAGAAAATGGACAAGGTAACTTTTTATTTCTGTATCAAAGAGTATCTCTCAAATGGGTTAAACTTTTTTGTCAGCTCTTTCTAAATTCAAAACTTTTTGTTGCTTTAGTAAACTAATGTCTTTTTAAGTTTAAATGTCTCCTGACAAAATTCATGTGCTCTTATTTTTTCTCTTCATGAGATTTTATATAAATCTGTACAAATCTGGAGTCCAATTGAGGGCAGTTGGATAGAGAGGAAGTGGGTTTTGGGATTAGAAAGAAAAGAGAGAAAAAAAACTAGGTGATTATAGTAGTAACTAACTAGCAATAATTAGCAATAATTATTAGCAATAATTTCTTAATAGAAAAAATCTGAAGAAAGAAATAGCTTGCAGCTACATAGAGAGGATTCTAAATTTTTTAAATTTATTTTATAAGTTTATTTTAGTAGGACAGGGAACTGAGATATGACTGAGAGCCAGATGAAGGGACTTGCTATGCTCTAATACTCTGGAGTGAAATTTTCATAGGTGGGACTCAGATGATACAAACTTACTTGTCCTGAGAATTTAAAAAATACCTCAGTGGGCTTGTTGGAATTTTTCCCATCACCTATGCCAAGTGTCCAGATCTCTGCTGTTGGTCCCAGGTCACTGACCATTCGATGATTTTTAATAATTTTGGCAAAAACATAACTTGTCAAAGAAAGGCCTTTTAGTATATATTATCAATACTAAGAGTTCTCTGAGATAATAAGCAAGTAGGATTATTTCTTTTTTTAAATATGAAATTTTACTCAAGATATCCTAAATACCATTCAAACTTTTCATATATATATTTCCCAATTAAATATCAAGATGGATGAAAAAATGCTGCCTTTCTTTTCATCTGTAGAACAGGGACCATGGTTTCTTTACTTTAACTATACAGAATTGCACTCCCAAGCAGGGGGTGTTGGATATCATTTTGATGACTGGAATAAGGTAGCAAGGGACTAGCCTTAATAGATCACAACAAAATGGGCAAAGAAGCTAGAATGACTTAACTAAAGCCTTATTTTATGTAAGAGTACATTGCAGTTAGATGGTAGTGCTGTAGCAAAAATATAGATAACATAAGTTTAATTAAGTATTCCAATTTTTACTGCTTGCTCGAGGACAGGAACATAAGGAATTATCATCAGAAATTGTATAGTAGTTTTTGTATCAGATTAACTACTAAAGGGCTTTGGCCTGCTTTGTAAATTCTACCTCCCTCTTCTCATTTTTCCCTTTTAAAAATATTTATGATATTTAATCTTTAGGTAGATAATCTGGATCTTTTGATGGAGCTGCTAGTTTGGTTCACGAAAGGCAGTTCCTGTCTACTTAGTTTCTTTATAAATACAAAGAAGAAAGAGAGCTTGCCTCCCCTCTAGATTCCAAGGCTTTTACTGTAGTCATAAAGAGGGCCTGAGTGATCCCTGGGAAAGGCGTTTACGAGGGAATGCTTGTCTAACAATTATTTCAAGTCTTAGCTTAGAGATACTTCATCTGGAAATGTTCCTGAATCTTTTCTTCATCCCCAAAGTTTGAGTTAATTGCCTCTGTTATATGTGCCCACAGAGTTCACTTTATCTCTCACATTATGTATTTGTGTATTTATTTACTTTGTTTTGTACTTTGGTCACTATGTTAGGGACGATAGCCCTCTGCTTCCATTGATGTTCCTTCAGGCCTAACACAATGCATGTCTAACAGATTATCAAAGACATGGAATAAATGAATGCATCAGTAAATGCAGTTGTTATTTATATGCCACAGGTTTAAATCTGATTTTGGTTTTGCTTTTTTTTTAATATTAATTTTGGTGTTGAGTAATGTATTACTTTAAACTTTGAATCATAGCTGTCTTTTTAAAAAATTATACAGATGATACTTCGAAAGTTGACAAACCTAAAGCAGATGAAGAAGGTGATGAAAATCAGGATGATAAAGACTATCATAGAAGTGACCCACAAATTGCTATCTGTCTAGATTGTTTACGAAATAATGGGCAATCAGGAGACAATGTAGTCAAGGTGAGTAGACAAGTACAGTTGTATTTTTTAATGATCATTTTATAAATCCTCTTAAAATTTTTGATGAATTTTTAATTCTTTATCTGTTTGATTCTAAAGTTTTTATTAAAATAATCCCGTATAAAGTATATCTTTGACAATCCTGCAGCTGGTCAAGCAGTTGCTTATTCTAGGCACTGATACATCTACCCCCAGTCATCTTGTGCCAATGATACCATCTAGTGGCTAATGCAGAGAATCACACCTCTATTTCACCTCAACCTTTTATACTTTTGTTGGAAGTTCACAAGCATTGTTTATCTCTTGGGTGGCAACCAACTCAGGCTCAGGTACATTATTCCATGTTAAGCAATAGCTCTATCTCTTTTATTCATTATCTTTTAATTTACCTCTTTATATTTCTGCTTATAATTTAATAAGCTTTCCATATCGTGGCTAATATATTTTATGAATAATACTGGTTTTGGGGCTGGGGATTTAGCTCAGCGGCAAAGCGCCTGCCTGGCAGGTGCAAGGTCGTGAGTTCGGTTCCTGGTACCGGAGAAAAACCAAAAAAAAAAAAAAATTAAAAAAAAGGTTTTGAGGTAAACTAGTTGCTGTGAAATGAATGAACTTTTAAAGTCATTGAAGGCTCTGCATTATTCTCTTTAGCACTTTGATGTCTAATGTTGTTTCCCTCTTTGTCTGCTAATTGATCTCTTCTTAAAAGCTCTTAGAACACCCTGTTTACTTTTACTGAAGTCTTCTTTGGTCTTTTAATGATATTACTTAAATAATGTTTTCTCTTGTTATTGCAAGAAATTTTCAATTTAAATGTTCACTACTTTAGCTCTTAAATAGATGTTTGCCACTGTGTTTTAACACATGTAAACTTCTGAGAATGTTTTTCTCTTTCTAGTCTATGTTTTATTCATTATCCATTGTCTCTAATTTTCTTTCACTTCTCCTGTAAATCTATAAGTTGTATTTTTTGCTAATACATGCAATGACATTTTCTTATTCGGATGCAAAAAATTTTTTAATTCAAATTCAGCTTTCTCAGGATCTTGCAGTAAAGAATTACAAGGGCAGAGTAGTTCAATGAATATTTATCTGCTGTGTGAATATTAGTGATGACATAAGTCGTAAGAAAAAACCACTCAAGGAATGTTAGGCCTTTCACATATAATCAGAGACTTATAATACAGTGAAATAATTGATTTAATTAAGGGGTGTGGCTTAATGAGGCACCTTTAGAGAAATGACCACTGTACCTGTTTATCCCTCCAGTCTTCTCTGTTGTTTTTCATGTTTCCTGTACAGTACCTTTCCTGTTTTGTGTTTTCATCAGAGTTTTTATAGCTGTTTCTCTCTTCTTGCCAGCCACCGCTGTAATCCCTTTTGGGAGGAGTTCTTCATAGAAATTGTGATCATCCTTTAGCTTTCTCCAAGTTGCTACCTGGTAGTAAAAGTTGAGTCAATTAAAAGCCCAAATACCTTTTCATAAATAAATATGAAATCTCCTCTGCATGATTTCTATTATAAAAATTAAAATATTGAATTTTAGAAGTTCATCTAAAAAATTAACTACCCCTGCGTTGGAATCTGACGCTTTGTATCCACTTTGTATCCAGTTGGCTTTTTTTGTTTGGCTTTTTATCCTCTTGCTCTTTCCTTTATAGACTTTTCTTCTTTGTACAGTTGTACCTCAGTTTACGAACTTAATTTTTTTATTTTAAAGACAATAATAAAAAAACAATAAAAAGATACAGAATTTCACAACAAGATAATAGGAAGTTAACAGTGGTTATTGTATCACATATCATCATCAAAGTAGTTGCTCAGATTACCACATACAGGCATGTAGGATTGATCACACAATATAAACACTGTTCCTTTCAGTGAAGTAATAGAAATTAGTAGTATAATTATCCTGTCTTGTGTTTGTGTGTGTATGTACACATATATATATTCCTTCCTTCTTTCCTCCTTCTCCCCATCCCAGTTATTTTTTCCTTTTTGAGAAGTTTCTTTCCCTTTCACAGTGTCTGTTGTACTCTTTCAGTTTCTTACACTAGGAAAACAATACGATGTTTACACATGCGAGTCTGATTTATTTCACGTATGGATATGGTCTCTAGTTGCATCCATTTACCTATAAAAGCCTCAAGTTTATCTTTCTTTATAGCTGAATAATACTCCATTGTATAAAAATACCACATATTTTTATCCATTCCTCGGTTAATGGGCATTTGGGTTGTTTCCAAGATTTAGCTGTTACGGATTGTGCTGCTGTAAACATGGGTGCACATATATTGCTGTGATATGATATTAACTTAATTCCTCCTATGATTTTAGCTGCAAACCAAACTGGACCAGAACCAAATCAAATTCAGTGGTTAGGCTTAATGTTGACCTTATGGGGAAACTTGAGTCAGTTCTCATCCAATTCAGTTTGCAACAGAATCATGGAAAGAATATAAGTTCATGAAGTGAGGTACCACTTCTTCATTCTCAAAACAACTTTTCTGGCTTAGAATGACTTTCATGCTATCCTGATTCTCATCTTCTCTCCCAGGCTATTCCTGCTTTGTCTCTATTGACTTAGCTTCTGAGCTTGTACTTGATATAGAGTGTCCTAATACTTGCTCCATATTCATCTAGGCGGTCTCTTTCATTTTTTCTGGGATCCCATTACCACTGTATCATTTCTCCCAAGTTGAAGTGTTTTGTCTCTACTTCTAAATGCTAGTTGAAAATTTAACACCTGAAACTTACGTCTAAGGCAGATTCATTATATTCCACCTAATTTAACTGCAGATATTCATCTTCAGTTTGACTACCATCTTTCAACGAGTTATATGCAAAAGTTCAAAACCTTGGAATCATCCTTGACCTTTTATTCTTTTCCTTCCACCAGACACTAATTCATGGTTTCGTGTTGATTATATTTATGTCTAAATCTGTGGAAGTAGTTTCTTAAGTGGCTTTTATACCCTTTATTTTTTGTTATCTATGGACACTTGCATGAGTATGGACAAGGCAAAGGGTGAGGACCTAGATTATGACCAGTAACATAGTCAGATAGTAAATGTTTTAGGCTCTATGGGCCACACTGTCTCAATTGCAACTTTTCAACTTACTCACTATAGCCATAAAACATGTATAAACAATAGTGAATGAATGATGTAGTCACTCCAGTAAACCTTTATTTAGGAAAATTGTTGGCCAGCCAAATTTGATCTGGCAGTGTAGCAAGATTTGCCACCTTTTTGCCTGCAGAATCATCTAAACAATTAGCTCTTTTCTTGGTAAGTTTCCCATTAAGCCCTACCATTAAACTCTCATTCATCTGTGTATCTTCCCCTTGACAGTGATTATTGCTTTATGTATGTTATATACTTTGTATCACATATCTGACAATGGATTTGTACATAAAATATATAAAAACTAGTACTGTGCATGTATGAAGGACTTTAAATTTTTAATCCATTTTTGGGGGGCATGTTCTTCACGTATCTTCTCACCATCCTGTGCTTCTCTGCAGACCCAAGCAGAGATCTCTGTTCTTCGTGATGTTTTTTTCCAAACTAATGAGTCTCTTTTCTGAACTTCTATAGAACTGAACATTTATCATCAAGGTTTAGTTTACCAATTAGGCATGTTCCTATGGATGTTAGTCACTGATATTATCATTTCTCTTTTATGATAGGTGTTTTTTCCTTGAAACTCTGTTATAAACCACTTAGAAGTAGACACTTGTCTGTATTGCTTTCTAGCTTTCTCAGCCATCTCATTCCTCTGCAGTGGCATATGCTTCTTACTGTTCTGGTGGAATAGTTGCATAGTTTAAACAGTGTACCTCTCTGTTTTTATAATGTGACAGCCAAAGTCAAGAACAGGAAAGCTACCCACTCCAAAATTTGCTTCTCCATAAAAGTACAGCAAAAAAAAAAAAAAAAGAAAAAGAAAAAGAAATCTGGCAGTGTGAAAGATCACCTCTTTCAGAGGTGTAATATTTAACCAGTGGTTTTCAAAGCCCATGAAACATTTAATCAAGATGATAATTCTCTTATGAAAACGGAGAGCTTTATGACATTTTAACTTATTTTATCCCATCCCTCACTTTCCAGCTCTGTGGTAGCTTTGAAAAAATCAACAGCCTGCACTAAAATGGTAGAAAAGAGATAAAGCTCTTTCAAAGCTTTGTTGCCAAACAGCTGTCACTACTTGACTTGTTGGATTGTTCCCTGAAAGATACCACTTAGCACACTGTCCACCATATATCAGGTTTGACTTGGGAGCCTGTCCAGTGGAAAAAAGATTTATCTTTGGGTGGAAAGAAGAGATATTTTTCAAAACAATTACAGGCAAGTATTTTAGCTTCAAGACTCTCTGAGGTATAGTTAACATTTGAGGCAAACAGTAGAACCAAAAGGCTTAAAAATAAAAAGCTGGTAAATAAGATGTCCATAGAAGCTTTACAAAGCATTTACATACTCCTAAGAATCTAGAAGGCTCAGGGGATATAGAGAGTTGTATACATGCTCAGGAAAGACATGAGAAGCCCCAAGCGTTCACTTTGAGGTTGACCTTGAAGCATTGCATAAGCAGAACATAGAGTAGTCACCAACCTGGTTGAGTGTTAGAGGTGTGCCCCAAACACAGTCACATTGCATATACTGGGAGACTTATTGGCTCTATGCATATACCGAAATCTCTATGAATAATTACCTGACCTCTAGATAAAAACTTAGGGGGCTACATATGTTAAAGACTATAGAATTCATTTAGAAATGTTGTTAAACAACACGACAAAAATAAAAATAAAAATAACCACAGCAACAAACCTTGAGGAACATGAAGGAATCTAATTTCCAATATTGCCACATTATACTAGCAAAATGTCTAGTTTTCAACAAAAAAAAATTGAGACATTAACAAATAAGAAATTATGGCCCATACACAGGGAAAGAGGCAATCAACAGAAACTGTTCCTGAGGAAATTCAGACATTTCACT